AGATCCAACTTTTGCATTTAACGATTAATCGTGTTGAATAATAATGCTAATTAAAGAAGTGAGACTAGTGAGTGGACGAGGGTAATAATTAGTTATAAAAACACCGCCAACGCAAGCTTCAGATTACACGGCGGAAGTTCGCAATTATTACTTTTTGTTGCTTTTCCGGCTAACGTGCTCATTTTGAAATCCTTTCCTAACGGACTGTCGATTTTTATTCCTAAAGCTTGTTGTTTTATTTAGTAAAATGTTCGGAGAAATAAATAATTTATAGCAAGCTTTAAATCCGGATTGTAAAATTCTACTAATTTCAAGGTTATCTTTGGGCAAATTACAGAAAATTTCTTTTCAGAAATGTCGGCTGTCACAAAGCAATTAGTCCTATTTAGATCGTACCGTAGTGGCCCATTTTGAAAAGTCAGGGTCAACTCTCAAAAGTCAAAAATTTCACTACGTGCAACGGAAATATCTCAGCAACTGCTAATTTTTGATTTTCTCGTTGATCAGAAATGCCGAGCTGCGGCCTCCGAACGGAACCCTCGATCCTGGAAGTGGAATTGTGTTAACAAGAATATCGGGTCGGATTGGAATGCGCGACCAGTCGACTACCGTTAGTTAGGACCTAACTTTGTGGGTTACACGCCCCTCCCCTTCTAATTCTTCTTCATTTTTTTATCTTCCTTGATCCAAAAAGAAACGGAAGGGAAATAGAAGAAAAACACAACAAAACTACAAAAGGATAATTGCACCTAAAGACATCATATAAATCACGTTCCGAGTGATTAAACGCTTAAGGAGGTACGTATTATTTATTCCAGACCCCTTTCAATTACTTCAGAAGAGAGGGTTATTAAATAAGAAACAGATAACTATTTAGTTTTTTTTTTTCATTTAACTTCTCTTATTTTCATAACTCTCCAGGAAGATGTTATCCGGCCGGAGGCTCTGTGTAAGCCATTACAGATCGTCCCTGACAAATTACAGCCTCTAATAACACTAGATTAGATAAGGCGTTGGTATTACGTTTATTAGACGTTTAAATTCAAGTCCGTACATTTTAAATACGGCCTTTCTTTTCAATTAAATAAATCCCCATAACGAGCCAGGAGAATAAAAGTCTTCCCTCTGTCCCACTTTCCAGATGCCGGAGTGCCCGGAAGATACTTTAAATTGTCTTTACAGACCAGAGACGCTCGAGGGAGAAATACCTTTACAACTAGGGTGTGCCTTAAAAAGTCAGCGTAGCAGAGCGTGAAATCTCAAATGACACAGTAAAAATAAAAGTTTTGCAAATTTTGCAATATCTGCAAGGCACTCTCAACAAATTTTTGCATATTTTCAACAGGGAATACAAAAACTTCTACTACCTTCAATATTAGGATAACAAAGAGTACTGCGAAACCGCCCAGACTAAACCTAACAGTCTGAAATGTTTCAAAACTTTCTGTATCGATATCAGCTTCCGTCCTTAACATTACACGCAACAAGCATAGGACAGACGAGACAACCTTAACAGAAGACTTGGACAACTACGAAGACTTCTAGGACCGAAATCCGTCTTGATGTCAAAACTTGACTAAACATATACAAGACTTTACTGTGACCATTTTGCACATATGGAATGGAATAGTAAGGTTATACCAAGCCACCCAAAATCCAGGGCATCTTTTCTTCCAATCAAAAGCCCTCAGACAAAATTCTGATAGCTCTTTCAGTCACTAACTCACAATGCACAACGACATCCACCTTCCTTTTGTCAACGAACTGATCCGTTCTAGATTCCAAACATACTTCCACAGTTTGACACTTCCTCTCGATCCATACGCAGTTTATACAAACGAGGATGCATCGATGTCCACCAATTGAGAAGTCATCATTAAAGGATTATTAAAACGTGTAATTGTCTCCCTTTTATCTTAAACCTGACATACCTCATCCATCTTGTTTAGTTAAAGGCAAATGTTAGGAAAACATAAACAGCGAGCCCTAACTCTTTAAATTCCTCAAAGTTTTCTTTCAGTGAGAATTCTTTCTGCTCTATTTGGTTTTGGGTTCTCATTGGTTTTGCAAATTCCATGCTTGTCTTCTGAATGTTTTAAAAGCAAAATAATGCAGCGAGATCAGGTAAGCAAGAAATAAACTATGTGGATTAGCAAAATATGTCATTTTCTTCTAATTCACAAATATTTCATTACTTTCGAAATCTCATTTTTAAATACAAAAATATACCTATTAACCACATACTGTTTCATAAGGGTCACATTTGGTTTAAATTTCCAACCAAATTTACCAAATTGCCGACAGATTATAACATTACTACCAGAATATATANTTTAATTCGTTTTAGTGTGTGCCAATGGTTAATTACACCTGCGATTCTCTGAATATGTTGTTAAAACATAAAAACGTATATCGTGCTGTTTATCTTTATAATACAAAGATAATGCATTTCTTTCGTGTATCAATCAACTGTATCTCTAAAAAAATTTATTCTCTTTGTTCCTAACAAATAATTCCTAGCTGCCATATTATTTGTCTAAATAATAAGAAGATAAATGGAGTTCGAACATTTACCAAAATAGTTAATTTAATATCGTTTTTAAAAATATAGTGTTTAATACGTAAATCGGATATTTCTAAACTGACACAATACACAAAACATATCTCCCGTGATGCAAAACATTTTAAAAAAAATTTGCATAAAACGAAACGCCCACGCCCTGGGTAATTGACACTCCGACATCTCAACTCTGAAAAGACTTCTACGAAAAACAGTATGAGCGTTCCAAAGATTTTTTGACCATAAATAACTGGATAACACATCGTTGATAAAGAGTGAAAGGTCGGGGTGGAAATTATCAATGTTGACGACCTCCCAAATATTTTAGAGTTAATGAGACTTAATTACCCCGTTGTTGATAGTTAAGGAAAACCATTGACAGGCCTATCTGCTGTGAGAAGACACAAAGAAACGAGCGCATGTACGCTCTCTTCTTTTTCACTCTATATCTCTCACTCACGCTCTCTCTCTCTCTCTCTCACTCTCTCTCTTCTCTGTCCTTCTCTTTCTTTTCTCTGTCTCTCTCTCTCTTCTCTGTCCTTCTCTTTCTTTTCTCTGTCTCTCTCTGTCTCTCTCTCTCTCTCTCTCCCTCTCTCTCTCTCCCTCCCTCTCTCTCTCTTTCTTACACACACACGCACGCACGTCGCTGCTGAGCTAAAAGTTTACGTACACCCGTACCATATAAATTTGTTCGTGCAATCGTTAATGTACAAGTGGAAATATTAAGTCAAGGCAGTCCAGTTTGTTGCATACAACAAGGGACATCCTTGTTTGGCTATCGAACGGCTTTTTTCTAAGCGAGGAGTGCCCTTATTTCATACAGGTGTGGATAAATATTATGAAAAGAACATTCCCTTATAGGGGGAATTTGTTTATTAAAATCCGGAATAGACAAGGGAAACAGCATTAATCATTATTTCAATATGAATCTTTTTCAATATTATTTTCTTTTAAATTCACTTTTTCCTCGACTTTTGTTAAAATCAAATATCGAAAAAATTTGGATCACGCGAGACCAAAGATAATCCATGATGATCGTAGATCGTTCAAAAAATTCATATTTATATATCTTTAACTTTATACTTTTATGCGTCGAATGATTGTAAAACAAACAAGATTGCAGCGAGAACAGGCGGACCGAAACCTTACATACGAACATTTTTTTCCACCTGTCGCACAATATTGCCGGTGAATAGGATTGGACAAAAGTCAAAAACCATTTGCACCAAGAAAATTGTAAATTATAATTTGATATATTGTATTTATTTATTATACTTTGAACCAAAACGCTGCAAATTATTGCACAAATTTTTATGAATGGTAGCCGTTCCAACCCGTCATGTAAATAAGAAATGAACCATTTAGTCAGAGCTATGCTAACATTTTAAAAAAATGTAATAAAACAACATACAAAAGAAAATAGAATTGAAATTAAAGGTTTTCAGTACCATCACAGACTGTAGGACGATTTATTTATCAGTGACCTTGCCTTTTTTAAAATTTCCCCCAAGTAGAGGTGTACTAAATATCTTCCATGCCGGCGTATCTGCAACTGTCCTGTAAGCGGAGGTGTCTACTAAACAGAGGACTCCCTAATCGGAAGTTTCACTGAATTTAAGTTTATCAGTTTTTATGCACAACTAATTTTTTTATTTCTTTTACATTTATATGACTTTTTAAGACAACTTTTAGCAAAAATTAGTGTGCAACTAGACATGGTTGACCCAACGATCATCAGACATTTCAAGACTTTCTGGATCGTTTTGTATAGTACGATGCTTTGTAGCTTTTTCCCTAGGAATATTTTAAATTGAGGCGAGACCGAGCGGACCGAACTGCACAATTTACAACGGTACATAATGTCAAAATCCTTTACGGCATTCGGTAGGATATGTATGTCTTAGAAACAACTCGTTCATATTTTTTTGAAAATTCCTTCTATTAGGTCATATTTTTTTTTACATCAAATCTTTTGAAAAGAAAAGTCGAAGCTTAATAATATAATAATATAATTCCACTGAATTTAAAAGATACCAAAAATATTAATATTAAAATATTGTAAGTGTAAAAACAAATATTGAAATATTATTTTTACTTGTTCCAGCAAAAGTTAGCTTAACAAACAAGAACACCTTGCTTTTTTTTTCATTTATACGAATTATTAGTTCTTCACTACCATAAATTCGTTGTTTTATCTAAGAGAGACTGACCTTGTGCTATACATATAATATGCAGGGTCCGTCCATTGTCGCTGTTATATCCGTAACTTACGATAAAACTTGATTTAAACATAAAGCATTTTTTCAAGTATGAGTTTATCCTTAATTATTCCATTTTTGTTATATGAAACATTTTTTAAGAAGACGTTTTATGGTTTACCCAGCCTCGTCGTCAATATATTTTCGATTGTACAATTTTTCATGTTTCTTTTTTGTTTCAGGCCACATTTTCATAACAACAGGACCTTAACTAGCATATCGTAAGTGTTTTACCATTTTGCGTTTTCTACACTGACCTTCCGACGTTTCCTGTGTAGATTTTTTTCTCTCTTTTGTGCAAGAGTTACAGTCTGGAGGATAGTGATAGTGAGTGCCCAGGAAGGATTGTGATGCAAACCCCAGAACGTCCTTGGACATTTTCTACCCTTTCTACTTGTAACCATTCCAGGAGTGTGCCTCCTATCTACCGGCGATATCCGCGTCCTTTTCTCAAAAATGCGATAGCGGTTATTGTTCAATAAATAACGACTGTGTTTTGTAACATTTTTTTGTTCTTTTAAATGGGACAAGGGGCAATTATACGCCTAATCCGAGATCCGAGATAGCAATTTCAAGGTTAATAATAAGATTTAACGCCAATGGATATCGCATCGAAATTTATTTCTGCGTTCCCTTATTGCAATAACGGTTCATGTTAATAGTCAAAAATGTTCACAACTCGTACGAACTATTTTTATTTTGTCGTTTATTGAATATTTTTGCATAATAATTACGCATTTTAATATAACATAATTATCTAAAGGAGCTCAGGCGAATATGGTGTGTGAGGTCATGCCTCAGCTCGAGCGCGACAATTTTTGCCGTGTCACTGACGAAACATAAAGTCACGCGTTTTCAACCAACTTTTCTTTTAATATATATTAATAACTTAATTTTATCTAAGCTCGGAATATAGGTTTTTAGATCGATCTTCGTCAGACATTTAAATTGTTATTCCCATTTCAGCTAATTATCCAAAAACAATGACGTAAACAAACGGACACAATAGAATTTTCTTGCAACAATCTTCCATTGTTTAAACCGCCTATGACCAAAATTTCTGGACGCAGCTAGTTTTCCCTTTCCTGAAAAATAAATTTTTCCGAAGTATTCGGATTGTGTAACGAAATATGGGCCTCATTTGAGAAAAAAAGTCAGTGCCATTTACATTTCCAATCTAGTAAACCTAAAGAAATGCCAAAATTGAAAACTCCACCTTGTTTTAAAGAAGCAGGCCTGGCTTTTCCTTTCAACGCAAAACAGATATCCTGGCTATGCAGGAATTATATTAAACAGAAAGTAAAAAACATCCTTCACAAAAATACTGGGGTGACTAATTGGGGCAAAATAGAGGCAATTAAGTTGTTATAGAGCTAATCGACAAAAAAATTATTTCCTGCAAGTATGCTACCATCGCCTATATTGACCTTTTTTTGAAAGTGCTATATATGTTGGGCAAACGCAGTAGTTTTACAGAAACTAACTATGACATGTCATCGATCATTGTCAACTTTAATTCAGATTATGAACTTAATGAATATTTATTAATTTGTATAATTTTATTAAAATGTAAAATTTTTGTGTGATTAAAATTTTTCCTTTCACCATGAATATGTACTAGACCACGCATAAAATGCATAGGTTTAAAAGTTAATTATTAGTTGGGTGATGTTTCTGAAGTTCATCCTGTGTATTTTAGTATATTTAGCGGTATATGGCGTATTTAAAGTTTTTTAGTGCATATTGTATGGCATATTTGAACATTTTTGTTCCATATAAGTCCGGGCTTCAATCATGACTATGCTTAAGTGTTATAATATGAAAAATATTTAATAAAACTGACTGGGTTTCTTTCTAAGAAAATAGCTCAAATGGCAGTTTGCCTCAACCGAATCCTATCAAATGTTTATTAGAGTTTCTTTGGGTCACGATTTCTTTCAATAGTATGTGAGATAATCTAGTAATATATAAAATTTCTTTAACAACTTAGGATACTCTATTTAAAGTTTGTTATTTCCCATCTTTGCAACATTTCTGTCGCGTCACCAATCAAATAGGCTTTGTGTTGTCTTGGCGTCCAAATAATTGTTTACAAATAGTTTTCATAATTTCTGTTGACCATTACAACTCAGGTTTTACTGAACTTTACCAACGATGGCAAAGCAAGTCTATTAAGTTCTCTGTAAAATTAAATTACCAAAAGGATAGCCTTATTCCTTAACTATTTCAATATGTTAACACAATCTTCAGTTGGTTTAATACGTTTCTTACGTGAACAAACGTCTTCAGGAGGTTATCCCACGTGTCAAATTAGACTAAAAATCACTATTTTTCAAAGTCTGATTCTCAATTATATTCGGGATATTTCACTTTCAAGTTACTTCAACCTTTCACAACTTAAATTCCATAAAGTCCCCTGTATGTCATGAAATTTTAGCCCTATAGTAAATTTGCTTACACCATTGGAAAGAGAATGAAAACCCATAAGTTTCATGTTGTTTAGTTTAACCAAAAGCAGACAAAATAGAAAATTACTCAGAATATAAATTTTGCAAGTTTTCAAAATTCTTGTCTAAGAATTAAGTAAGATTTTCATGGTTCTGTAAACACTAATAGAAAGGGCGCTTAGACCAAAGGTGCCCCTAGGTGATAAGCAATACAGCTTAATTTATGAAAGGTCAGTTACCACCTATGTAAAATTTGATTTTTCGGCTACAAACGGTTAAAACGGTTAGTCATTAATATTTTGAAACGTCTATTAAAAATGATGAAAACAATGCAAAGTAAACAAAAGACTCTTGGATAAAAAACGAAAGAAGTGAAAAAAAACATGGACCAGTGAAATAAAGGTAAACAGTATAGAATCTTTAAGAAGATTTGAAAATTTAATGTTTTTGAAGCGTTTTGATAATTAATTGTATATGCGATATAACTTTAATGTTATCAAAATGTTATCATTTAACAGAAAAATGAACTAATATTGCTATGGACATGTTTTCAACTATCCTGTGTGATCAATCAATATACCAATTGACCCACGGCGTAAAATAATTTAAAAAAAATACGATAGGTTTGTTAATACCAAACATGTGCCTCCTTAATGTTAAAGTGAATCAGTTCACAAAATGGTTTTATTTACATTTCAGGCCATTTAAAAAACGATTACGAATCACTTTCCACACATGCTCGAAATAGCTTCCGTATTGATTTGAAATTATCGGGTCACAAAAAATGAGGAATTCGACCGAATTAAAAGACGTAATTGAATCAGTTGTGTCTTTTACGTTATTAGGCTTTTAAATAAACAAATTTTCGTATTGAAATATGCGAATTTCCTGTATGTTTATCAAAGGTATTTTTTTGCATAATATCGACTCCTAAAGTTAAATACCCGGCGGGTACGCCTCTCCTCGCACCGGCTGCAGGTTGTGTAACGTTACGGGCGTTGACTCTTTGTTCTCCATTCTCGTTTTAATCTTTACAACTTCTCAGCATACTTGCTCGACACCGAGATACCATTATCAGCTAACAAGGCATAATTTATGCTGGGTTTAACCAGCGGAAGCTACAACAGACTTCCTTTACACCGAGGAAGTTAATGGAGCGTGAGCGGAATCCGTAACATCCAATTGTCAATTCAATGTATGTCAAGAACGTAACGTAACGTTTGTTCAATAAAGTCGAAATGCAACGTCTAACCATAAATTCGTTAAGTTAAACAAGATTGATTTGTGGCCAAATTAATTTTACCATCAAGACAAGATCAAAATTATATATCTTATAGTAAGATGTCTTTCCTTTATGCCTTAAATAAATATAATCAAAATACGAATAAACTATCAATGAATGTCAAGGCTAAAAAACAAATTTGTTTAAAAATCAAGATCCTTTAGTAGCTACAATCTGCCATACCTTATACACAAAAAACAAAATATGGTTGCTTGAATGGTTAAAATATACCATTAAAAAAAGTATATATTTTAAAGTACGGCGTATGCTAGAGATAAGGGGTACAATTTAGATTTCGATCTTATCTAAGCATAAAAAAGTTCAAATATTAACTTATAACAGTTCTTCCAAAATAAAACCAATAAACCGTAAAGATGCGTGTTAAAATTAAGACGCATTCCAAATTTTTTGATAGCTAAAATTTTTCATTCCTCTAATATGTAATACAAGACTTGTTTAATATTACCATTTTAAAAAAAATTCTAAAAGATGAAGTCTCTGCAATAGATGTGGTTTTCATTTGAGAATACGTTACAAGCTCAACGAAGTATATACTAAAAAGTTCAACCATTAATTTATAATACTTTTTGAACAAAAAGTCGTCGAATTAAAACAGAAAATGTAATGTGTGAAGACAAAAACTATTTGGTTGATTTGTGACAATCTTCGCTTTCCCATCAATAAAAAAATATTTTTTTAAGCAATAAATCTTGGCAAATTGTTTGTAATTTTTAAAATTAAGACGTGTAACAAATTTCAAATATTAACTCATAAACGTTTCTTTCAACAAAAAATATCAACTTTTGGTTTGATGACTACTGTTCCTTCTAATTCATAGTTCTAATCGTCTTAATTTTTTTCCCCAATCAGTAAATCTGGCAGTTTGTGTTTATTTTGCTTCAGAACTTATTTAGAAAATAAACTCATTTTTAGAACGGATTTTATCTCGCATATGTATTTATAATGATCATACCTATCATAATTATGGTGAGAGGTTCGTAAAATAACAATTCTAATAGTTTTATCATCATTACACTTCTTCACAAATCCGGTTGAGATTCAAATATTAACCTATAAACGTTTTACCCGCATAAAAACAAATTAATAGAAATTTATTGTGTGACAAGTCTGAATTGCATTAAGATTAGATATAAATTTCTCCGATGTTTTTAAAACAAACAATTGAAAATAAAATTTCTAACATTTCTAAAGGCAAAGATGCAAGGTAGTTCTCTCAAATCAAATTTATTAAAATTTGCCATACATTTGTTACATAAAACTACACATATTTGATTTGTATTAAACTATTTTTTAACATCATAACTTCCGTAATAAGTAAAACAGTTATTTAGAGTATAAGTTTGTTAATTAAGATTGGATTATCTAGGCACCGAAGAAAAGTTCAAATTTTAATTTATAACAGGATTTCAAGCACGATTAATACTGTCTAACAAAAAAACACATAACCTTTGCCAATACAGAAACTTAAATT